AAAAAAAAAAAAAAAAAAGGAAAAGAACTTGCATGGTCCTGGCAGCCCTGATTATGAGGCTCTCACTCACTAGTCAGGTCTTTTCTTTGGCTCTCTTCTTGTCCACAGACTTCAGGAAATTTTGTCTAAATTGTTTTCCTCTCCTGGGATGGCTGCCCTGGCCTCTGGCCATCTACTGGACTCTGTGCTCCCTAAAATGCACACTCTTCTTATGCCACCCATTCCTACCCTCAGACCTCATGCCAGCTGATCTCAGTGGCTTACCTGGACCTGTCTCCGAGCCTCTGTGCTCCGATCCCTGGGATCGTCCCAAGTTATCAGACCTGGTGTCCACCTCCCCAGCCTGCTGTCTCCAGACCTCTGGAGGGAGGCTCCCTCGGTTCCGGGGCTTGTTCTCACAGAAATGTGCACACTGCTTGGGGTGCTGCCCGCAGATGGAGATGCAGCTGATGCAGTCTCTCAGGAGGTGGTCATAGTACTTGCCTTGCTCCTTGCGGCAGCTGAGGGACTCTGGGAAACAGAAATGTATGACGCATCTGGGTGATACAGGCTGCAGAAGCTCTGGCCTGGACTCAAAGAACATCAAAGTAAAAAGAAACAAGCAGTCCAATTCTCAGAAAGCATTCCAGAATAATCCAAATATTTTTACAATAAACCAATTGAAGGCTATGCACCATCCTCAAAGTACTATGCTAGCTGCACTCCCCACATTTTGATATATGGTATCTTCACTGTATCTAGTTCAAAATAATTTTTAAATTTTTATTTCTTGTTTGACCTATAGATTCTTTAAAGGTGCATTTCTTAGTTTCCAAACATATGAAGATTTTTTTTTACTTTTAAAATTGATATCTAGATTATTACATTGTCATACACGATCTTTGCTTACCTTTTTCTTCAAGGAAAAATATGTTTCAAATTAGCATAAGTAACATGGAGGAAAAGCCAGAATCCTTGTTGGCAAGTTGGGAGAAGGGGGTGGGAGGAACGTGGAAAAGCTCACATTAATAGTGCCTCTTCTGCCTTAAAAATCTGAAAATGGCAGCAGGTTAAACGGGTACCAGTGCCAAGGGACAGAAATCAAGCCAACTAATACCCAAGCACATCTGCCTCCAGGAGCACAAGAAATCCAACTCTGTTAGCATAAAAGAAGTATACTGGAGGGCTGAGGTGTGGCTCAGTGTCAGAACACTTGTCAGGATATGTGAGGCCCTAAGTGCCAGTCCCAGCATGGAGAAAAAGAAAAGGCATCCATTTGAGACAATCATTTACCTTCTGGAAAGCCTCAGAATGTTTTTACTTTCCAACCCAATCTAAAAAGTGGGCATGTGTAATGACTAGACACTTCACAGAAGAATAAGTACAAACGAGCATTAAAGAACATGAAGAAATGTTCAATCACTGGCCATTGGAGAATCACAAATTAAAACAACTTGGACATTCCTCCTTACCTCAGAAAGAATATCTAGCATCAAGAAATCAAATAATAACAACTTCTAGAGAGGCTGCAGGGAAAAATTAACCCTTCTACACTGTTGATGGGGATGTAAGCTGGTACAACCTCTATGGAAATCAGTGTGGAGAGTCTATAAAAAACTAAAAATAGAAATTTCATTTGATCCAGCTGTTCCCCCTCTAAGTATCTTTCCCAAAGAGTTAAAGACATATTACAGAGTTACATGTATGCCCACGTTTATAGCAGCACAATTCATAATAGCTAAATCTTGAGAGCAGGCTACAGGCCCATCAGCAGATGAGTGGATAAAGGAAATGACACGTTTACACATAATGGAGTACTGTTCTGCCAGAAAAGGGTAAACCTGAGTCATTGTAGGAAAATGGATATGCCTTGAGACCACGATGTTAAGTGAAATAAATCCGACACACAAGATGAAACATTGCATTGTTTGCTTATATGAGACCCAGAATAAAAATAAAAAGAAAACTGAAAGATAGATAATAGGAAGTAGGCAGAAAGCTTATTCTCAAAGGGGAAGGGGATCAAGAGATGGAGGGGAGAAGGAGGAAAGGGATGAGATGAAAAAATGAATCAGGATGTGTTATGCACAGGTACCAGTTGTATACAAACAATGTAAACATCGTGTACTACAGACATGTACAAAAAAGGAAGAGGATCAAAGGATGCATGGAGAGGATGGGGAGAAAAAGGAAAGGGGATGAAAAAAGAATTATGATGTGTTAGGCACATGTACCGACTCCACACAAGGAACGTAAACATTACGCACTACACACATGTACTACCAAACCAAAAAAATTTTAAAAGAGAAAAGAATAATTTTACTTTCCTAAGTTAAGTTTCCTTTGTCTTTGAGATTCTGTTCATGTGAAATGTGATTCACACATAGATTTTAACAGCACATTTCAGAGGCAGTGTAGGAGAGTGGTAAATAAGACAGACATCAAAGCCAAGCAGTCTTGGTGACGTCCTCTTCCACCACTTGTAAGCTGTGTCATCTTAACTCTCCACACCCAATTTCTTCATTCCCAAGAGAGGAACAGTTATAACGCTGACTTCTCAGTCAGGGTTCGCTGGCAGAGCTGAAACACCCAGCACTGGGCTTGGCACATAGTACGTGCTCAGTTAATAGACGGCAATGCGCTCGTGTGCGCGCGCGCACACACACACACACACACACACACACACACACACACACGTCCCTGACAGAGTAAATATCACAAAGACCAGAAAGATCATGGAACTGGGGCCTCAGGGACGATTTGAAGGATTCCCAATGGGCCAGCCCTGTACCTCACCCACACCGCCACTCATGCACCGCCAAATACTGCTCTCAGAGTTTCTGTGACCCCTTACCTGCCTCAGAGGTGAGAGGTGTGGCTGCTGTGGGTGGTACCCAAATACCCCAGACCTCACAGCTTGCCTGCACCTCAGGATTTTGGCATTCTCTATCGTGTCTTCCCCCACTCAAGCTTTTTCTATGTTGGTTCCTCCTCCAGGATACTCTTCTCTCTCACATGACTTCTGCATTCTGTTATCTCTGAACAGTCCACCTCCATAGTATGTCCCCATCGTGCAACTGTGACTTCTTATAGTACTTACCCTTTCTACCTTGAAAGGCAGTCATTTCTCCAATTAGAGGACGACTTCCTTGAAGGGTCAGGCCAGATTCCTATTTTCACGGAACTAAAGGATTCCATTTATGTTTGGGAGATGAAACAGTGAAAGTTCTAATTGATCAGTGCGTGGTGGTTCAGGGCCATAGTTTTGGAGTCAGAATCCTGAGCTCAAATCCTGACATCTGGGCCAGGGATTAGCTCAGTGGTTCTGCCACCTGCCTCAAATCCTGACATTTTCACTTTCAACTATATGACCTGAGGTAAGCCAATCAGCCTCTGTGAGTGCCACTGTATGTATTTATAAAATACTATGTGTCAGGCACTGTGCTAGGCTCAAGTTAGATGTGTCTCTTTCCCCTCAGAGAACTTGGCCTGGTGGCTGAGTCAGACATGAAATAAGTGCCTACCAAAGACCATAACAATAAGTTGCAAAAGATCTACCAAGAAAAAGAACAAAGGGGGGAGGGGGAGAAAAAGAACAAATTATAAAAGAAAAGAACAGTGAGCAACAGATATTTTTAAAGACAACTATAGAAAATTAGGTATGGCCTAAGTATTAGATTACTTAAAGAAATTGTGGGATCAATGAGATGTTAAGTTTGTTTTTGAGGTTATATGTATCAGAGATTCATGAGCTATATTATTTACAGGTAAGGCGTTAGGAGATCTTAATTTTCTTTAAAATATACAAGTCAAAAAATTGGGAAATTGGGCCAGGGATTTAGCTCAGTGGTTTTACCACCTGCCATGCAAATGCAAGGACCCAGGTTCAATCCCTGAAACCAAAAAAAAAAGGAAATTAAAAGACATTTTTGATGCTGATGTGATGTGCACAGGGGTTTATCATGCTATTTTGTCTCTATGTGTATGATTGATAATTTTTTTAATAAAAAGCTTTATAAGAAAGTGACAACAAAAGCTGGGCGTGGTGGCACACGCCTGTAATCCCAGCACTCGGGAGGCTGAGGCAGGAGGATCGCTGTGAGTTTGAGACCATCCTGGGCTACATAGTGAGTTCCAGGTCAGTCTCAACTACACAGTGAGACCCTGTCTCAAAAAAACAAACAACAGAGAAGGACAAAAGGGAGCCTAATTGCTACTGGGCAGTCTGAGGAGAACTTTGATAATTGGGCTGAGACCTGGAGGGTGAGTAGAAGGGAGCTGAGGGAAGATGAATGAGGAATATGCATTCCAGGCAGAGAAGAGAATGCAACATGTTCAGAAAGCTGGAAAGTGGCAGGGAAGCCACAGAGGTTCCAGGGTGAAGTGTGCCATATTGTGAGTTTTTCCCCTACCACTGAAGGCAGGGGGCTAGCAGGAGCTCAGGGGAGATGAAGAGGAGTGGTCTACTGTCCCCAAGCTCTGGCCCAGAACTCACTGCAGAAGGCTGCACAGGTGCGCTGGCTCCGATGGCTGCAGGCTGACTTGCAGGAGATGCATCTGTTTAGCAAATCATCCCAGTATTGCTCTTCGGGGCAGAGCCCCATAGCCACTACTGGCCACAGGCCCTGTGGAGCTGAGAGGTAGGAGAGGGTATGAGGCAGCTGATGAGCTGGTGGACACCCAGGCAGCTTCTCCTGCCCACATCCCAGAGGCATCCCCTCTGCCTCAGTAGGCAGGGGCAGCCAGACAAAGCTGGAGCCAACCCTTGCTGCACTCACTGGGAGACCTAGGGGTCCCATCTCACCTCTTTAGACTCAGTGCCCCCCCACTCTCAGGGCCCCTGACTTCTCACATTGGCTGCACCCAGCCTGCTCCTGCTCTCTCCTTTCTTTCACCCTGTCTTGACCTGCCACAGGATCTTTGCATAGGCTGCTCCCATTGCACAAACACTCTCTTCCCTTGCAACCTCCTCATCCTTGAGATCTCTATTCAGACCCACTTCCAAAGGGAAGGCTTCTGGCTTTCCCTCAACTGTGCCAAGAACCTTCTACAAAATCACAGTGATCACTTCCTTTTTATAAGTGTGGTTACTTCACACTGTCTCCAATACTAATGGTGGGCATCATGTGATAGGGCCTATGCCTAAATTTTTGTCCATTGCTGGTCCTTAGAACCTAGATAGTGCTTTGGAAATACTAGAAGACTTCTGGGAAGGTGGCAAAGTAGTGAGTGAATAGCAGAGAAAGATCTCCTAGTTTCAGTGTCCAGAAGCTGGAATAGCGCAATGTGAGGAAAAGAGGAAGGGGGAAGTGGGTCCCCAGGACTCAGAAACGTTCTGAAGCAAGAACTGAGGCCCACAGGGAGGGCAAGGAGAGAGATTTCGATGAAAAAGAAGGAGGTAGCAAGTGGGGCTATCCCCTGAATCCTGGCTCACTGCAAGGGAGGGGTGGCTCAAACCTGCAGATGCACTGTGACAACTGGCAACCCCAGAGGCTCCCATGGAGGAATGCACCAGGGCAACAGAGTGGGCCCAGTGGACTATGGTGACTGGTGAGTTATTTGGGGTCAGACACACCCAGGAGAGGGCGATTGGCCATTAGCCATCTTGGACAGGGGGCAAGTGAGTTCAGAATGCAGAGCAGATGCAGGCTGGCTCTATCTAGCAGCTGCCAGTGTCACTGTTGAGTTAAATCTGCAGGAAGTCAAAGAGGTGAGTTCCAGCTGTTCAGGAGCCAGGTTCCAGCTGGCAAGAGGCACACAGAGTGTCTGGAGCAAATTGGGTCCTGGCCTCACAGCCAGAAGCCAGCCTTAACTTCGGTGGAACTAAAGGTTCAGGCTTGCTGGGATTATCTACTACCCTGCCATAAATCCGTGGCTGGCTTGGTGGGATGAATCGACACCAAGCTGGGCTCTATTTGCCCACTTGTTCTACTAGTGACAACAGAGATGCACCTTGAGGCGGACATTTTTTTGTTTTTCTGGTTTTACTTTTGTTTTGTTTTTTCTTGACCATTCTTGTTTTTATGAATGTGAACATCGTTTCTAGTTTTGTTGTTGTTATTATGTTCCCTTATTGTTTTTATTTCTTTCTTCTCTTTCCCTCCTGTCTTCTTCACCAGTTTTTCTAATCTTCCTGTATCCTCCAGCCTTGCTTCTAACCTCTTCTTCTTCCTCCTCCTCCTCCTCCTCCTTCTTCTTCTTCTTTCTTCCTCTATTTTCCCCTCTAAGCCCCTTTAAATTTTCTCCCCTGAGGGTAAAAGTCCCATACTGAGGACTTATTTACTGGATAACAGTTTTCTGGTTTGTTTTAGATTTTGTTATATAGCCACAAATCTAGTTCATACAGTTAAAGGTGGCAAATTAAATTACCACAGTTTGTCATTTCTAGGCTGTGTTTGATGCTACTGTTATGCTGATTGTACTACTTTAGCTAATGTTATATAACTGTTTCAATCAATTGTTCTTCCTCATATGGCAAGGCCGAGATTGCCTAAGGGTCATAAACAATACTATAGGCCAATGCCAAAGAACCAGGGGCTAGGCCAAATAGGCAGCAACTTCTCCTGCCCAATACATTGAAGAGGTAGGATCCTGCAACAGACTCAAAACCCAAAAGCTAGCTACACCTGAAAGACATCTCTGAGAAGTAGTCATTTCCTAAGGGTTCTAAATGCTAGCAATAAAGCTACTTGCCATAAGCAATTTATAAGCAACAAGCCAGGAATTAAGCTAAAAAAAAAAAATGAGAAGCAAGATGCAACCTCAAACTTCCAGCTCACCAAAGGCAAACCCAGGGGACAATGAAATGGAACAATTTGAAAGCCACCCATCTGGACTTTCTGAAATGATAACAGCATAAGTGACATAGCAGATGAATGAGGGTCTAAAAAAAGTCAAATCAGAAATAATTTCTCAGAGATGGCCAATGTGAGGACAGAATATCAGATATAGAAAACAGGATTGCAGTTACTAATCCTGAAAAGCAAATTTTTCAAAAATAGCAAAGGACCAGGAAAAAATCAACCCAACATCTACTACATGAGGCAAAAAAGAATAACATAAGATTGATCATATTCAGCAAAAAAACAAGAAATAGCACAAATGACATAAAAACACTTCATAGAAGTAGTGGTAGAAAACATCCCAAGTGTGGAAAAAGCATCAATATGCAAGGCATATAGAATTCCAATTAGCTCTGATCAAAGGAAAAAATCTAGGGCCAGGGATTTTTAGCCCACTGGTGCTGTCACCTGCCTCACAAGTGCAAGGTCTTGAGTTCAATCTCCAGTACCAAAAAGAAATCTACCAAAGCATATAATAGTCAAGATTATAGAAATTCAACATAAGAACAGAATATTAAAAGCTGTTAGAGAAAAGAAACAAATCACCTATAGAGGAAAGCCCATCAGAATCACAGAAGACTTCTCAACACAAACCCTCAAGTCAAGGAGAGCTTGGAGTGAAGTATTTCAAGCTCTAAAAGCAAACAACCTCCAAAACAAATTGATATACCTTGCAAAACTTTCTTTCAAATGTGATGGAGAAGTAAAATACTTCCATGGGAAAGAACACCTGAGGAAATTCATAACAACCAAACTAGCACTACAAAATGTTCTAAGAACATTCTAGAGAGAGATAAAAAGGACTCCAACTCCATGAACCCCAACAGAATGAATCCACCAGGCAAGGCAAGCAATTAAGCAGAAGCACAAAAAAGTGAACCAACAGCAGGAACATAACATGACAAGGATAAGTCAATACATATCAGTTGTAACAATCAATGTTAATGGTCTTACTTTACTGATCCAAAGAAACAGACTAGTAGAATGGATTAAGAAGCAGATCCAACATTATGCTACAAACAAGAAACACATTTAATTAAAAAAGAAATTCATAGCATAAATTTCAAAGTCAAAGGATAGAAAACAATGCTCTTCCTGACAGAAAACCAGAAAAAACAAAGCAGGGGTAACTATTCTATTGCAAACAAAGTGGATTTCAAGCAAGACTGACTGAGACAAAGAAGGTCACTACATCCTTGTTAAGGGAACAATCCAAGAGGAAGAGATAACAATCAGAAATATATATGCACCACATACCAGTGCACCCAACTATATAAAACCAATATTAATGGACATGAAAAAATGAAAGAAATACTAATACAGTTGTAATATAGGACCTCAATACCACACTATCACAAATAGATCAACTAGACAAATAAATCAACAATGAAATATCAGAACTGAACCAAACTTTTGAACGAATGGTTTAGTAAGTGTCTATACAGTGTTCCAAGCCACAACATCAGAATATACATTCTTATCAGCTGCACATAGGATGTTTTCCAAAATAAACTGCATACTATCTCATAGAACATGCTTAAGTAAATGCAAAGGAACTGAAATTGTCTCATGCATATTTTTTCTGGTACTGGGGATCAAACTCAGGACCTTGCACTTGTGAAGCAGGCATGGTGCCACTGAACTAAATCCCCAGCCCTCCCATGCATATTATCAGGCCATAGTGCAATGAAATTGGAAACCAATGGCAAAAGAAACCACAAGAATTTCATAAACACATGGAAATTAAACAACACCCTCTTGAACAACAAATTGATCACAGAAGAAATTAGACAGTTTCCACAGTTAAAAAATAATGCCAACACAATATACCAGACCTTATGGAATACATTGAAAGCAGTCCTATCAGGGAAATTTATAGCAGTGAATTCCCATATCAGAAAAACAGAGCAAGCTTAAACAAACAACCTAGTGTTAAACCTCAAGTTTCAAAAACAACAAAAAAAAGAGCAAGTCAAGCCCAAAGAATATACAAGGGAAGAAATTATAAACATCAAAATAGAAATTAATGTAATGAAGACTAAGAAAATAATGCAAGGACTCAATGAATCAAAGAGTTTGATCTTTGAAAAATTAAATAAAATTGACAAACTCTTAGCCAACCTTATCAAAAAAAAAAAAAAAAAAAGGAAAGAAAAAATACAAATACAAATCCATGCTTAGGAATGAAAAGGGTAAAATCACAACAGATCCCGCAGAAACCCAGAAGATCACCAATACCTACTTCAAGAACCTATATTATTTTTTTGTTTGTTTGTTTGTTTGTTTGTTTTTTGTACCAGGGATTGAACTCAGGTCCTTGCACTTGCAAGGCAGGTGGTAGAACCACTGTGCTAAATCCTCAGCACATGAGAACCTGTATTCTAATAAGATTAAATGAACAGATTCCTAGATACATGTGAATTTCCAAAGTTGAATCAAGAAAATATAAAAATTCTAAATAAACCAATGTCAGTCAATGAAATTGAAGTTGTAATTAAAAACCTATGAACAAGGAAAAGCCTAGGCTGTGACAGATTCACTAATGAATTCTGCAATAAATTTGGAGAAGACTTAATGTCACTACTTCTCAAACTCTTTAATGAAATTGAAAGGGAAGCAACACTCCCAAAATCAGTCCTGGAAGTAAGCATTATTACACTGATACCAAAACCAGAGAAATATCCAACCAAAAAAGAGAACTATAGGCCAGTCTCTGTAATGAACATATACACAAAAATCTTCAGTAAGATACTGGCAAACAGAATGCAGCAAATAAATAGGATTATACACC